TTTAAATAAATATAAATAAATAAATACATAACAACATTACATACGCCCCTTTGATCACAAAGTAAATAATTAAAGCAGTTGTGTTATGGAAATCGGAAACAACGACGGTAACACAAATACCCAGACCCAAGATACTATAGAAAAGTTAGTTTTAACGGTGACCACGCCAAACTGACACGCATTGGTCCCAGATTCGATTCGCGGGCCGGAAGAAATATTTGTATGGCCTACATTTATTTATCTCGTGAGTTTGGGTGTAATTTGTGGTTGTCTATGTGTGTGTCCATGGCACCCGCGACACAGGGTTTCTCTAGTGCGGGGCTATGTTGAGTGTGTGCGTTATTTATTTATTATTTAATTATTTATTTATATAAACAGTAAATGCCGGTAATCTGATGTCCAATATTGATTCACACATCATTAATTTAATTGAATTGTTTTTCTAAAAGTACTTTACCCGATCTTATAAAATCTTGAAACAGGCAAAAAACAAAAGTAAATAATTTTGATAGGGAGACATTTCTCTGTCAGTTACAGAGAACCTGCAAAATTTGGGATTTCACTTGAAGCCTTATTGTTATAAATTAACATTTGTCCCAAAATTTGAAAATTGCACACGTAACGACACGCCGCGCCGCCCGCTGCCCCGTAACGTCGGATCTGTCTTGAATTTTCTGTACATATTCTTATTTTATTCATATTAATTTTTAGCGCGCGGATTGCAGGATGCGTGAGGCAGCCCTCACATCTCACGTCCTAAAATCTAGGTTCGTGTTCAAATACCTCGCCTTATGAAGATATGCATGATTGTAAATTGTAAGAAATCACAAAAACGTCATTCGGACATAGATTCAAACAACTGTATCGTCGAAGCTATTAAAGCCCACATATACAGACGATTCCTCTTTGCGATTGTAGATACGTCGCTACTCCATTGGCGTTCAAGTTCATCGTTAACCACATTAATGTACACTATCGATTCGTCGTTTCAATTAGTCTGAATGGAAGTGAAATCGTGAAGACAAATCGTTCCGTATAACGGAGCCTTAAGTCACACAAAAAATGCAAAGTCGCTCTATGTTGTGATATATTTTTTAATCTCAATTTTATTCAAAAAATATCAATATTTCGTTTATAATTTCATTAGCATTTTTCATTATCAACTTAACATTTTGAAAATAATATTGTTGTGTTCCATTACAATTTCAAAAATAAGCAGTAAAAATTTAAAAAATGGAACTCAAACGGGTTCTATTTACAAGAAAAATAACATTAAATCGCGTGGCAGCGTGATTGGGACATTAAGGGACATTTAGTCATTTACATCTCATAAATTTGAAACATCCATTATTTTTTTTTCTGATCTTGAGTATATTATGCTTTTACTTAAATGTTACATTTTGTACGTATAAATATATTTTTAATACTTGTAAAAAAATATACGAATGCTAAAGTGAAAATTATGTAAACATCTTTAAAAGAAAAACGCTACTCTACTTACAAATAATGAAATTAAACATTCTAAACTTATTGTAATCAATTAATTTAATACACGTAGAGTACGTTTACAGGGACAACGGACTCGGACAGTTTTATCGGTAAAATAATTGAATCAACATGAGTGCGCACTTCAATTGAAGTTTCTTGAAACGTACAACAGAAATACACTACAATACTAACAATGTGCCACTACAATGTCATACAATTTTGTATTTATGTCATTTCTATAATTTTACACGGCAACAGTTTGATTGTACTCACATCCAATATTTATCAAAAGGCATGAACAATACAATTTTCCACTTAACACATGAATTGGGCGTTCCACAACGTGCTTTACTATTTATTGTTACTTATAGAAAATTGCACAGTTATGGTATTTTTTACGTACAAAGGTATAAGTGCTTTTTTCTTTCCTTTTTTTCTGATACCAAGTGACGGGATGAACAAGTCGTGTGCCTGGTGGTAAGCGACACGCCTGGCCAAAGCAGTTGCAGTGCCACTCAGGGATTTAAAAGATCTGAACACTGCCACTACGTCCGTCACCCTGAGACATAAGTTGTCAAATCCCACGTGCATGTAATTTCACAAGCACCCTTATCCTTCAAAACTGGAACGCAGTAATTCTCACATTACTCCTTGACAGCAGAAATAGGTAAGGTGACAGTACTTCCGTGGACGAAATCTTCACAAGGAACTTCATTGCTTTTCTGTATGTTGTTATTGAACCTCCTTACACGATTTCTACATTTGCTATCGCTTTTATCTGGCCAGAAAAGTTGCGTCTATATTAAAAAATCTTAGGAATCCCTGTAGAATATAGTTAAGACTTAAGTTTCTAGGTTACGTTTATTTGTGAATTTTTAGCAGCAATACCTTTCGTTAACAGTAAAAGAAATATCCCGACGAAATCTGCATATGGAAGAAGTTTTAAAACCCTTGAAAAATAAAATCCCCAACTTGTACCCTATAAAGAGACGAGAGACCCGTGCGCAGTAGTGGGACGTGTGTTGTTGTTGATGATGAAATATGTTATATGTTTAAAAGTAGACTAAGGAACAATGTGCATGAATTTATCCAAAAGCAGCCTAACAATGAACTTTGAAGTTGTCCTTTACGCATTTAAGGGCCTTGCTTTCACCAAATCAAATTATTACAAATGTAATTTGAATATTGGTTATACAATATGGACAAGTGTTTAATAGCCGACTTCATGGCTTGGAAGCAAAGTTTGGCATGTCATTGAACAATTTCAATGATACAGCCTTTCGATACGCTATAAAAGATACCATAGACTATTTTTGTAGATAGTTAGGATTAGGTAGGTTGAGATAGATATTAATGGAAAAAAAAACATTATGGTTACTTTACAAAAATTACAAAAATTATGGTTACTTAACAATATACACAGTTATAACAACGTTTTTTAATACAATGTTTTTTGATACAATGTTGTTTAGTAGTAGCAATAGAATTTCTTGTGAAACAGTTCGTCCAGGGAAGTAATGCCACCTTATTTTTGACGCCAAGCAGTAATGTGGGCATTCCTGCATTCCGGTTTTTAAAGGTAAGGGTGCTGATGAAATTACAGATACATGGGATTTGTCAACTTATCTTTGCGATTTAAAGCTTTGAGTGGCAATGCAACTGCTATAGACAAGCGTATCGCTGACCACCAAGCTCACGAGGTGTTCGTACCGTCACTTATCATTAAAAAATTGTCAGGGGTTTTAATCAGATTTTCTTAAATTTCCACTTTTTTAATCCCCGACACAAGAGAAGGGAAATTATGACTTTGAAGCCTTTCTTTGAATAGAATAGAATAGAATAATGAAAGATGAAGTCTGTTCAGTTGTTTGAAGGTCATCAGCTCTTTTCCCGGGTAGTGTACGGATAGAGGTCATAAAATGAATATTTGTTTTATTTCCACTATCTATATAATAAAACTACTGTCCTGAGTTCGATTCCTGGCCGGGAGTAATATTTGTATGGCCTACATTTATTTCTCTAGTGAGTTTGGGTGTAACTTGTGGTCGTTTATGTGTGTGTCCATGGCACCCGTGATGCAGGGTTTCCCTAGTGCGGGACTATAAAATATATAAAATTGTTACACGATGTAAATCGTATGAGACAATAAAGTCTTGTACAGATGCTGCAACCAGGACAGTCTGCAGACTACTTAACTCCTTAACTATTTACATCAGAAGTATGTTGTTTGTGCTCGTTGAAGTGGTCTCCAGTAGTTGGCTTACCGATGATGATGATGATGATGAGGATCTGGTGATGTAGCAGAAAGGTGGACACCGGAACTTAAATTTATTAAAGTAGGTGTACCGAGTTTAATTCGTTGGATTGGTCTTAACGAGTAGCATGTAGACAGATGATGACTTTGTTGGCGTTGTTGACCTTTTAGAGTTCGCTATTTTAAGTAATTTTTTTAAATTCTATTTTTAACTGACTTCAAAAAAAGAAAGAGGTTCTCAATTGGACTATATTTTCTTTTGTATGTATGTATGTTACGCAAAAATGCGATAATTTGTGAACTGATTTAGATAGTTGTTTTTTGTTGGAAAGAAGTTACCTCAATATTGGTCCCATTTAAATTTGAAGGAAATATTCCACCTGGAAGGATGGCAAAGTAGGGGTTGAATCCGGTTGCGCCCACTTTCCGGTAACTGATTTCAATAAAACTGGGCTAACAGACGTAATTCCATGAAAATTTGAGGTGGGTTTTTTGGTACTCTATACTTATATGCTTATTATATCTTTAAATATGCAAAATTTATCTTTTTCATTTATTTTACTTATTAATATGACTTAAGCATAGGTTTGTTTATATATAATTATAGTTACAAGAAATAGTTAGACACAATAAAAAAAAGACGATTGGCAAATAGATAAAAAAAGAATTGTGAACAACACTTAAACATAAACCACACGCTAAAACACTTATAAAACCGTTCAGGGTCTTTATTTTTATAAACTTAAAACCAAGAAAACTTAACCCTACCGTCTATGCAACTTTCACAGTCAGTTGAATGGTCATTTTGACGAAAATGTACGGAACATGTTATTTCACGAGTTTAGAGGAAATGCTAGGGCTATTAAGTACTATTGATGTTACATCTTTTTTGATGTGGTGGTTTTATACATTAAGAAAAAATATTTGGTTTAGAAGTTGATAAATGTAAAATGTGTAACAGGCTTGTACCATAAGTTTATGTGTCATTAAACCTATAATGAATTCGTTCTAATAAAATGTTATGTCTAAACATTAGCATTGAACGTGATACTTCGAAATTTCTAACAGATTTCGAAACACAATCAACTACACGCAATTCTAACAATATTAATGTAATTGTACGCTTAAAATCGAAAAGCATGTGCAAGTTGACACTCTGACATTGTCACGTCTGCGCATTATGTTAATCTTTGCCTCTCACGCTTGGAATATGCGCTTGCGTTTGTTTCTCCGACAGTCGACTGGTAATCGACCGCCAATCAACCAGCGGCAATAAGATTGGTGTGTTAAAAAAACACGTGTGTGACATACGTAACACTGTGAAGTTATTATACGAGAAATTGTTTATTGGATTACATTCTGTAAGTATTTTAAATTTTTTTAGGAGAAACCAAATATTTGCAAATTTCTTTGTCTAGTGTAGAGATATTTATTTTCTTAATTAAATGAAAAAAAATTTGTGCTGTTTTAACGGTCACAAAAATAAAAAGTCATTTAGTTCAGTGGGATTGATCCCATTCTATTTATTTGTCTTATTACTTTACACATAATATTATACACATACATATTTAGTAAAGGTAACAACACTGACAAATTGACAACTTTGAAATGTAGTAACAATTGTGGTATCATAAAAACCTCCTCCTTTTTTTGAAGTCGATTAAAAATAAAATATTTCTGATGATGTACGAGTACGCAGGAATGTAAGAGTAAAGAATAAGTATAAAACTGTCAACTTAAAGTGATAGTCACGGTCATGTTTTCTTTCAAAATATATAGCACGTGTGTAAACTTAATGTGATAATGATCAATTGTAGGGTTTCAATTATGTAAAAATATAATACAATTCAGTTCAGTCAATTAATAGGAGTTAAATTATTTTAAAATTTATTATTTTGCTCAATTAAATAAGCGGAATTGCATATTATTTTCACGGTCACTAAAATTAAAAGCTAATCTCATTCAATTTATTCAAACGTCTTTTTAAACCCCGACGCAGTAAGAGTCAGTAGTAATAGAGTTCCTTGTGAAAGATGTCGTCAGGGGAAGTACTGCTACCTTATCTATTTCCGCCGCCAAGCTATAATGCTCACATGACTGTGTGCCGATTTTGAAGGGGAGGTGTGCGGGTGAAATTACAGACACATAGCTCTTGTCAACTTATGTCTCAGTGTGACGGGCGCAATGGCAGTGCCCTTCAGATCTTTGCAATTTAATTAGAATTGCCACTGTTAACGTGCCTGTTATGCTCGAGGCAAGCGGCATGTCGCGAACAGATGGCAAACGCTCGGACGTAATGACTCTCTTGCCTTTGGGCCGGGCACTGGTATGGGACGCCACGTGTGCCGACACACTTGCCTTATCCCATCTCCAGCACACCAGCAAGATGACTGGCTTCGCAGCTGAGCTGGCGGAGAGCATATAAAGTAATAAGTACCAGGATCTCAGCTCCGATTACCTATTTACAACCTTTAGAGTCGAAACCATTGGCCCGTGGGATCCTTTAAAAATAAAAATTTTATTCAAAAAATTAATAGACTGTCTGGGAAACCCAGGCGCCGGCAGCTACCTTGCCCAACGCATTAACATAACCATACAAAGGGGAAACATGCCAGCATCTTGGGCACCTTGGGCCCAATTTTATTCATATAATTTAATCCTAGTTTTACTTTCTAGCTTTTATTGTACCTTATCTGTATATTATGAAAATTAGATATATTTATTAGAATTGCTGATTAAATGTGATAAAAATTAGGATGCGCATATTTCCATTGTAGTTTTAGTAAGGTAACATCGATCGTGATTTTTTTAATAACACCAATAGAATGACGGGACGAAGGCGCACATCTTCGCCTAGTGGTAAGCGATACGCCTATCTATAACAGTTGCAGCGCCTCTCAGAGCTTTAAATCACAAAGATCATAGGTTGACAAGTCCCATGTGCCTGAAATTTTATCAGCACCCTTACCGTTCTAATTCGGATCGCAGTAATGGTCATATTACTGCTTAACGGCTGAAATAGGCAAAGTGGCAATACTTCCCTACACGAACTCTTTCATAAGGAGCACTACTGCTAATGCAATACTATATATATTACTATATACTGTATAGATCCCAATGCGCGTCTATATATGTATACGTAAGCACGTCGTGATTCCCAAAGAGATGGACGGCTTTCAAAGCGTTGTGTTTATTTGGAGGCTAATTTATTTAAAATATTTTCCTATTCACTTGGAATTTCGTATAACTGTCTTGGAAATCCGATGATGTTATAATAACTGTTTTATAAAAAAAAACCGACCTCATAAGTTCGTGTAATTACATCTATTTGCCAAGTTTTATTAGAATCGTTTACAGGAAAGTGTGCGAAACCGGATTCATCCCCTAGTTTACCATTCTTAGAGGTGGAATATTTCCTTTCAATTTAAATGGGACCAATACTGAGATACCCTCTTTCCAACAAAAAAAAAAATCATCACATTCGGTTCACAAATGCCGGCGGAGTTACCGCGTAACATACAAAACATCCTCCTTCTCTTGAATCGGTTAATAATATGTTAACCTGCATCTGATGCTACAATCAGTCCATAGACTAATTAACTCCTAAACTATTGACAGTAGAACTATATTATCATTATATGAGTTGCTATAAAATGAGTTGTTAGCTTACGGATCGGGGATTTTTTACATTTTAATTTAATATATTACGTTACTTTAAATACATATTTAGTAACGTTAACGACACTATGAAAAAAGTGCTAAAATAATAGAGTAAAACTTTTTCTCTCTAAACATAATTTACTTAATTTTAATCATTTTCCATTTTACATAACAATTATCGTTAATGCAATAAAGAATTTAATTAAGAATTGGGACACTATTATTCTGTCGCCGTTAGTTGAAAGGCCGCATGTTACATTTTTTGAAAATCTGTTACGTGTACTGCCGTGATTAATAAATAAAGGTCAATCTGTCACTACTTTTATTTACTCCTATGTAGATAATGTATGAAGTTACCGCAAGAGAAAAGTAGATATTTTTTAATTTAATTTGTTTAGACTTTATTTTCTCAGTTTTGAGTCTGTCACAAGCGCCCTTTCAACTGACGGCGGCAGAATTGCGTGTATGACATTAAAATTTTAATAGAATGTATTTTTTTTTGGGAAATCAGGTCTCTGAATACCACCGTAAGACTTTTTACACAATGTCCTGCCTACTATAAGTATATTTAAAAATTTCAGAAGACATATACAAAAAATTGTCGCTATACAATATTGGCAAGAGCTCGGAATTGCACATGCAGTGATATTTGTGTGTTTACAGAAGATTTTGTGGTTGTATTTATGATTTTTGTATCTGTGGTTTTTATGCGAACGGCACATCACTACATATGCATTTAAGAGCTCTCGTTAATATCACTATACACCGAGGATCTATATACGGTAAAGTATGTAGGTAATGTTTAGTAATAACGAAATGATGGCATTTTATTACTTTGATAATTAAGGAGATAATAAAAATGATTGAAATCTATAAGTCTTACGTCGTGTTTTAACGTAGGTAGGTACATAATTATGAATATGTGTATTTTAAGGTATACAGGAAAATCGTAAAAATAAATTTTATATTACTTTATACTTCATAGCGGAACCGTTTTTTGGCGATTTGAATAACTTAGATGGAATCGGGACGCTACAATTAGCTAAATTAATAAAAAAATTGTAATTACGATTGACTCCTCACAGTTTAAAATAAAAATTGCCAGTAATAGAAAAAAATACGGTATACGTGTTTTAAGAAAGGATAGCTGAGATTTATTAAGAAAACAAAAATCTATTGAGAAATAGAGTAATTTTTTTTGTAAAATTCTAAAATTCTAAATTTCAATTTTTTGTCATTACTTCATGTGACAAAATGACCTGGATTCGTGGCGGTTGGCTCGTATACCATTTTATAGTACGTTGTCTAACGCATTAACGACTGATAACGTTATTTAATTATACTTGTATTATTGTAGAGATGCACGAAAAATTGTAAGTGATATCTACGTAGCAAATTAAAATAAAAATACTTTTTTTATTGCAATTAATGTTGTCTAAGTTATGTGTATGATTTTTTCACGTGTAATTGTTTATTTTATTTTTGAAATAGTAAGTGTTTGATGTATATAATGTAATATGTCGTATTTATAAAACCATGCACTACATGCATGTTCAACGTAATTCAGTTCTTAAATAACTTGCTGGCATCACATCACCGGCCCGGGAAAACTCTTCTACTTCTTATCGTATTAATAACATGCATACCATAAATATGCCAATGTGGTGAAAGGGTTTACCAATTGACTTAAGGTGGCGTAAGGTACTCGCCGAGAGTGCGCCAGATGTACAGGAAAGGAATAGTATAGGAATATGTGTCTTCTTCAAGGATTGAAGCGGGAATCTTAATAAAGCCTTTTTTCACCGTGAACGAGAATATACGATAGTACAGTTTACAGCAAATCAAGTTATACACTTTTTTCGAATTTTCCTTTTTTTATTATAAAATACGTGCGCACTTGACCTCTATCCCACCTGATGGAAAGTGACAATAAAGTCGACGATGGAGCATGTACACCAAAATAATGTCTATTCACTCTCGCCTTGAAAAGGCTCAAGTTATACCGATCAGGGAACAAGTCTGCAGGCAGGGAATTCTGCTCCATGGCCGTTCGCCATGTAAATGTGGGAGGGAAGCGCTTCGTACGAGTCCTTGAAATATCCACAACATAGGGGTCGTAGACCCCAGCCTACGTCTGGTCCGTCGATGATGGAAAGGGAAGGGTGGAATGAATTCATGCAATTCCCTAGCACACTCTCCGTGATATATCATGTAGAATACCGATAAGCAGGCAATTTTACGGCGGCTCTGCAGTTTCACTTCTACTAATTCCGAATCACCTATAAGCCTCTTGACACGCTTTTCAAATGAATCCAAGGTGGCCAGTTGGTATTTACCAGAACCATCCCACAGGTGGTAGCAGTACTCATACACGACCGGACTTGGTCCCGGTATCAAGTAACGCCTCACACTGGAATGGATGCCATGCCACTTCCAGTGCGACGGAACAAGGTCCGTCAATGTGTAGCTCGATGTGCTGCTTTCTGTACGTAACTTGGAAAGTAAAGTCACAGGAATATGCCACAGGGTTTTCAACTGTCGACCGCTATATTTAGAAGATACTTTTCTGTTACTGAGTTACCACCTTTCCAAAATATTCATAATGATTATTGATACAAAGATCGAAACAATTCAAAGAAAATTCCTTCAATCCGACTAGACTCGATCCAGTGTGTGTTGCCTCAACGTGGCTACCGCTCTT